GTAATAATATTAGTAATTTTTCCAGGGTACTATATTCTCTTAATGTTTTGCCCTTTACTGTATAGTCCATTCATTCTTTCGTCATCATTTACTTGTTTATTTATTTCAGATATATTTGCCAATGAATGATGAGAACCGCCATTGGTTTCTTGTTGTGGTTTTCATGGACCGAAAGGTAGTGCATGTAGTGGACTCTTTGCGTTGTGATTTGGGTTTGCTGGAAAATCGTAGGAAAAGGGTGCAAAGAATGGTGGGTGATCAAACTATTCCCTTCGTGTACATTTAGTAAGTCAATTTTCTTTTTTTTTTTTTAAAAATTTTGTACTGTAATAGTTACGTGGTTAAGTTTGTTGTTACAGTTGAAATTCTTTTACAAGATGCTTCAAGAATTTCCAGACAAGCCATCAACCTATGAAGTGCCCAAAGTGCATAAGTTCCAAATCATAAGTCCTCCATACGTTTCTAAGCAAATTGATGAGTTAGTATTTCTTTGAGTATTTTGATTATTTCATTTCGATTCACAATCTTATTTTCAATAATAAATGCTATTTTTCTACGTAGCTATGAGTGCGGGTTTTACGTTTGTCTGTGGATGTTGCACGGAGAGGCTGATAATAATTCGTATACGGCGGTATAATACAATCCTTTCCTTCTAAATATGATTCCATCCACGTGAGATTCTACACTATCAAATCGAAATCAACATGTTAAGAGTAATGTTATAAATTTGCTGCAGGTTTGTAGTACTAGAGGTCGACTATCCTTGGCCATAAGTTTAGTCAAAGATCTCTCAAATACAAGGCGCTCTCAAATTATTGATGAAGCAATGGCCGTTTATGAAAGACATTTCAAGGGGAAAATCAGCTCAAAATGCCAAAAGAGTTTATTTGATTCATTTTAGAAAAGTAGTTGTTTTTGTTTTATTGGTAGTCGGTCGGTTTTATACTTTTATTGGTAGTCGGTCGGTTTTACTATCACTTTGATCCCAATTGAATTCATTTTAGATTGGTTTTGGTGTTTACCTTTATTTTTTCTTAAATCCAAATGTTGGTTCACGTTTTTGTGGCTTTGTTCCTGATGCTTGTTCAGCTGAGATAAGGCTTAAAGAAGGCGCCTAGGCTTGAGCCTTATGCCCCATTCACTTGCCATTTCATTTTATGTTTGTTGTTGTCACAACAAAAAATAAGAAATATGAGTAAAAAAAACGTGGTTCATTTCTCCTGCAAAACAACAAAATCTAGTTTCCTGGAAATTTAGTCGCGCGTTTCTCCCCCATTCCCAGCGGAAAATTGCTATTGTAGTTAAATGAGGTTCTGGGTTCGAATCACATCACCCAATTTTTTTTTCCTTTACTTCCTTCTCGACCATCATCTTGAAACTTTCTTCCCTCTTAAGTCCACACCGGATAAACTCATAAAACCTGAACCAGTTTTCGCGTCAATAAACTATTGACCTTTCTTTTGGTCAGTGGGGTTTTTTGTTATCTTTATTTCGGCCCAAAAAACGCTCCAATTCTTGGCTTTGGCTTTGGCCTTTGGATATCTCATATCTTGCCACCGGAGGACGCCGAAGATTATGCGTTCATCGGAGCAAACATAACCATGTTGGATCCAACAAATAGCTTCAATAACAAAATTTTAACCCAATAACAAGTGTATTGTTTTGGTTCTCAACGAACATGAAAAGGGAAAGAGACAAGCAGACAATTCAAACAATTCAAGGGTATTGTTTTGGTTCTCAACGAAAATGAAAAGGGAAACAAAACTAGAGTACTGGAATGAGAACTAATCAACCAAATATCCAGAATATACTACTGCAGGAGAAATGAACCACCATCTCCCTATGAATCTTCTAGTTTCGGATTACGCTCTTTTGGCTTTCCTCCTTGTACCGACGAGTCTGGGCAACAAACCTCGATGCATTACTATTTGCTTCCTCGATGACGACATGTCTTATGTAATTTGTAGGGTGTTGGACCAGATACAAAGCTAGTTGCATTCTCCTTATATCTCCGCATGGCTGCAACAGTTTGACAATGACAATGAGGCTTAGTAGCTGTTTCGAAAGGTTGTTTTCCTTCAAGGCCAAGTAGGAGAATTCTTGCTACCCCATAGATTATAAGAAGCATCCCAAGATGCACCCATCATCCATGAGCACACCCAAACGCCACTATCAGACCTACATAAAATAAGATGCATCATATGAGTGGTGGGTATCTAAGTATATTTCTAATTTGTTCACAACGAACAATTCTTACTCGTGACGTTGTTCGGGAATTGAAGGAATTGTCAAAGAAAATTGTTCCAGTACAGGTGGATCAAGCGTTGGTTCCACTTGACGATAAAGATCCTCAAACAAGTCATCAAGAAATTCGATCTACACAAGCAGTAATCACTTTATTCGGGATAGATGAATACACAAATCAATTTAGAGATATAATTGTATTAGTATCAGGAGGTCAAACCATACCATAGTTACTACTGCGTTTCTACGAGATATTTGGCGCTTTTTAGAAGGATACGAATCCAATAGATGGACTTATTTGTCGTCCAGTATAATGACAGCTAAATACCAGTGAACTGCATCACCGTCCATTGCATCTTTCATGGGCAGACACACCTAAATAACGACGAAAAAGACCAAACTCAGCTTAGCATTGTAAAATACAATTTATAGAAATATCAAAACCTTGATGGAACATCTAATTTATTCGCATATCCAATTCAAACAGTAGCTAGAAACAGTAATTGAGGAATATTTCAATGAAACAAGAAAGGAATTGTTAAGAAGAAACCTTTCTGCACGTGTGAGCTCTTGCCAAGAACTTTGCGCCATAACACTCTAGAGCTTTTTTGATGTCATGCCATAGTTGATTACCATTTCCTGATCATGGTTCATTTAAAATAGAAGATAACACATTTAATAGAAGAAACGGAATATTGCACCTAAAATAAATATACAAAGTAAATGGGACTATACTTGTAGTTCAGCAGGCAGATAACAGACTACTCTTCCATCTCCAACATTCCTCCAAACTTCCTCTAGGCTCAATTGGCAAGCCATGGCTGTAATTACATCATCATCGACATTAGAATTAGGGCAGAGGGACCACAACACCTTTCGTGTATAGGATTGCATCATGGTTTCAACCAGGACTTCCTTTTGTGGAAGATCCTTCGCAAATATGTAGTGGGCAAGGTTCACTTCCTCTCTAGTGTACTTGAGAACTGTTGGAAGTGTAAACTTTGTTTCACCCTACAATAGAAGACGAAACATAAGGATAAAAACAATTGATTTTGTTCTAAGTGGGGAAAATTGGTGGGCTAGATTACCATACCTTCTTGTCGAATTGTAAGTAAGAAAATCTGGTACGGCCTTTCCAAACTAAGTCATGCCAATCTGCCTGCAAATCACCATCAATCTGGATCACACCATCTTCAGTTCTACCTTTCTTTCCTCGAGATTCATCCTTCTCCAGCATCAGAATTCATCGTAATAAAAACACAATGCCTTATTTAGTTTGAAGCATAATCTGCCAACGATGGAGAAAACGGGAAAACAAGAATGCAAATTGACGAACCATTAATTTGGAAGAACTTCTGGTCTTGCGTTTTGTCATCATCCTCCCGTCCTTATCGTTCTGCATATTGCTCCTGGTTTCTTCCCCCCTGACCGAGCTCCTGTCCAGAATGAGCTCCTGGTGAATGCAGAAAAGGAGTTAGCATTCTTAAACTAGGGCCAACGGGTGAGTGTTTTTCTCTATAAGGATACTGGAAACTTTATCTTCCTCATTAACCTCCACATGGAAAAGGAAAATAATATTTTTACGGGTAATAATTAACGTGGAAACAATCCGCATCACCTATTTGGAAGTTGAATCTACCATATATAACACGCAAGCATTCTTTAGTAATTTTTTTTGGTAATTCAAGCATTCTTTATTAGTTGCATTCTTTATCCAACTAGTAACCATAACGGGAAACAATATAATAAAAATTTAAAGTACTAAAATATAAAAAAAGACCGTACACCATGATGGAAAAAATAGAAAAAACTAATAACACGTGAAAAACGGATTAGGTTAACAACAACAGCAAAAAGACCTCTGCTTTGCGCCCGATTCAGCCCCTCCTCACAAACAGCAAAAAGACGGCACACCAATGGAGGAAGAGGGAGATAATATCAACAACAATGAAGACAGCGATGTTGAAATCATACCAGAAACAATGACCTCTGACAGCGATGGTCCTACTGTACAGGAGGATGACACAAACGTTATTCAAAATTCTGCTTTTATCGGTCAGGAATTCAATCATTTTGAGGATGCATATGCGTTCTACAACAACTATGCTAAGAGTTGGGGGTTTTCTGTCCGTCGCTCAAGGAAGGTTAAGAACGTCAAGGGAGAGGTAACAAGTGCAGCCTTCGTGTGTTCTTGTCAGGGAGTTTGAGAAGCACATAAAGGTCCACAAAAGAGGGAGTCGCCTATGGAGATCAGATTTCAGTGCATGGCTATGTTTCGTGTGAGGTTGAACAAGACAAGCAATAAGTGGGTGGCTGATATATTTAACTCACAGCACACTCATGACCCAGTTAGGCAGAATCAAGTACATTACTTGAGGTCGCATCGAGGATTAACAGAAGCAGACAAGGCAGATCTCCGATTTAAAAAGGATGCCGGAATGAAACCTTCTCAGGCCATTAAGCTTGCTGTGCATTGTGCTGGAGGGCATGACAAACTTGGGTATACAGTTAAAGATGGGTTAAATTTCAGCACCAAAGACCGCGCTGTGAGAATCAGCGAGCGTGATGCAGCAACTGCACTGGCCTATCTAGAATCAAAGAAAAGCATAGACCCACACTTCCTCCTCCGATACACTACTGATGAGGAAAAAAGGCTCCATTTTTTATTTTGGGCTGACAGCATTTGTAGAGCAGACATTTCGTGTTTTGGAGAGTTGCTCGCATTTGACACAACGTACCAAAAAAACATTTACAATATGCCACTGGTCACTTTTACAGGTACGCCATCCTAGTATGCCCTCTAAGTATTATCCTTTGCTTTGTTGTTTGAATACACATAATGGCATCCAGAAAACAGCAAGTTTCTGATTATATGAACTCTACCATTGTTTACATATTCCTCACAGTTTTAGCTTTTCTCCTGCTAGTTCAAAAGATTCTGATTTTTCCGAGTTTCTGTTTGACATTGTAGGTATCAACCATCACTTCAAAACTTGCTTATTCGGGAGTGCACTGTTGCCCAATGAGACTGACGAAACCTATATTTGGGCGTTGAAGATAGTGAAGGAAATGTTGGGGGACATTCCGCTACGTACAGTTGTCACGGATGGGGATAAAGCAATGAGGAAAGCTATTGCTAATGTGTTTCCAAATGCAACACATCGGCTATGTGCATGGCATTTGTCCAAGAATATCACTGGCAGGGTGAAGAATCGACCCGACTTTGAACCCCGGTGGAAGAAGTTAGTAACTGCTGAGTACGAGCCAGAAGAATTTGAGGAGAAATGGAATGCATTGGTAGAGGAATGCGAACTCCAGAACAACCAATGGGTGTCGAAAAAACTATTTGGGAGACGCAACGAATGGGCGGACACATACTTGCGCTCACATTTCTTTGCTGGGTTGACAACCACATCAAGATGTGAAAGCGTAAATGCGGTTGTTGCAAGGTATGAAAATGAGAGGTTATGTTTGCTTGACTTTTTCACTCAATACGACCGGTGGCTCAGAGACATGAGAAAGACAGAGATTAGATTAGATTTTGAGTCTAATTATGGTGTAGTTCCTATAAAGAATTCAATCCTAAAGCACCTCGAGCAAAGTGAAGCAAAGCTTTTCTCAAAGGCTGCATTTCTTTTGTTCAAAAATGAGTTGGAGGAGGTTATTGGAGTCATTAAGGGTAACCAAACTGAAGAGGGGCACCTACACACTTACACTGTTACCATGTTCAACAAAGAGAAGGTCATAGAGGTGAAATACAACATTGAAACAAGAGATATGGAATGCAGTTGTCAAAAGTTTAAGAGTATTGGGATACTCTTATGCTATTTGTTCTCAAAGAAGAAAAAGTGAAGACTATTCCTGAAAAACTGGTACTCAGACGTTGCTCGAAGAACCCAAAGTTCCTACACACTCTGCCAGAACCAAGTACATTGGGGGATGACAGCAGTTTCAACATTAGGTACGGGTCGCTACAGTTCATGGCTCAACGATTCTGCTTATTAGGAGCAGACACTCCTCTCTTTTATCGAATAGCTCAAGATGAGTTGACAGCAGCGTGTAACAAGTTGGAGATGGTAAAGAAAACCCCCGCCGAGAGAGAAAGGATTGTCATACCAGACAAGTTCAAAGATGTATTGAACCCAAATCAAGTGAGGTTTAAGGGTTGTAGGAAAGGAAAAGGGAAAAAACCACTTAAGAAAAAAAGAAGAAAGTGTGGGAACTGCGGGCTAAGGGATGGGCATTATAGGAGCACTTGTACTAACCCCCCAGCCGACGTGGTAGAATCTCAATCTGATGAGGAGGATTACGACGATGACATGGACGATGATGGGGACGATGATGGGGACGACGGAGAAGATGGAGACGACGATGATGGAGATGATGACCAAGGTGGTCAGCCCCAAAAGGTAATTAGCATCTCTGGTTAGGTGTTCTTGATATAGTTATTAGAGTTAATAAACTACAAATGTTATTTTGTTTTTACCAGAAGCAACAAACGAGCAGGCATAATACTACTGGAGAGCCCATAGGAAAAAGTCAGCCACAACAGAAGGTTGTATATCATTTGTTTATTCACTAAATTATCGATTTGTTAGAAATGGCTATTAGCTTAAGAGTTTATTTGCCCTCTAACAGATCGGGGCACGTACTAGGAGAAATACTAGTCAACAAGAGAAGGGAGCAGAGAAGGGAGCTAAGAAGCATACAGGACATAGTGCTGGGAGTACTAGTCGGCATGATGATCGTCCAGGCGATGAACATGAACTAGTACTTTTCCAATCACACTAATCATTTAACCAGCAAGATTAGATGGTTCTTTGTGTTGGAAGTTACATCTTTAATATTATTTTTTCTTATTTTGGTCTGCTACAAAAACAACATCAGACTAGAACCCGTGGTGCAAAGAACAGAAGCATCAAGAAAAACAAATGAAGTTCATTAGCACTTCCATAGCAAGAAGTTGAAACGCCCATGGAAAGCAATGACCACTTTTTATTGAGTTTACAATTTCATTATTGATTTTAGGGGACAAAATCTTTTATCTTGGTATATTTCACAAAAGTAAACTCCATCGACACTTCATATTTTTGTTGGACGAAGGGTACATTGCGGGACATGAACTGTTTGCAATTGAAAGGACATACCTGGATTTTCTTCTTTGTTTTGTTTTGTTTTGTTTTGTTTTTTTTTTTGTGTGAAGCAGACCTGGCTAGCTAATGCCTCACGGGTTGCTCCTCCATAAACTGTCAGCATAAGAACAGGTAGATCTTTGAATCGGATGTTGAAGCCAAATATATGGAAACCCATTCATGTGTCTAACAAGTATAGCCGCCTAAATTTGTAACAGTGACATTGGAAATGCGTAATTTACCTCCAGTCTGAAGTGCTTTTTCAATTTGTCCACTTCAGATTACCTTGAGGCCTCAACTGCATTACGAAGAGATATACTATCAATAGAATTGAACAAATATATCATTTTTCGTTGACACTTTTGATTTGTTTGAGTGTATTAGGCACTGTAATCTCAAATGCATTAGAATGATGCAACTCAAATACACGATGGTAGTTTTCATTAAAAAAAATACACTAGGGTTGTAAGCATTTGAAAATGCACTCCAGAGATGTCGGTCCCACGAAAGAAAAATGGTGCATTCTTCAATCTAGGATATGTTCAGTTCTGTAAGTATTTTAGAAACAATTCTAGTCCTTTTCTCGAGGTGATGTTTTTGAAATGGACAAATTGGGGCACAAAGACGATGGCTTAAGGGTTGAAAGCATACCAGTATGAGCAATCGATTGTGGGAGTTGAGATAACATTCAATTGCATCTCCCTGCGGAAGCCCAGGTGGGACTTGCCTCGTCCTTAGCTGTGCCTCAACCACTGTATCATTGAGCTCACTGTCCAGAAAAAAATACAGCAATTTAAGATGGTCAGAGTCAGAATCTCACGTATGCAATTATCGATACAGTAATTGCATGTCAAAGGAGGAACACATACTTTCTGAAGTATGATCTTCGGTCAAAATAGAATTCGTGAACTCATCATAGAGAATCAACGCATTCTAAAATATAATTTGAGTTCTATGAGAATGAATTGAAATCAGCTGACTAATATCTAAGTACCTCGCTGAGAATAAGAACACCTCTCTTTGAATATTGGCATGCTACAAACTCATAAGTAACGAGATTCATTCCATCTCACAATGAGGTTACAATCGCCACGTCTGCAAGACGGGAATAGCGATCATGACATAAGCACACAAAGTCGAAATCCTACTAAGGATACTTGTGTAGATCAAGGAACATAAAGGGACGTGTAACATAAGTTCCACGTCTATAACTTTAAACAACCATGCAAGAAATAGGGTCGACAATTTCAATTGAACTCTGGAAAAAGTTGCAGTTAAATTGAACTCGGAAAAAATCTGCTGCGAGAACTTAACGAAGTAGCTCTGATCTATTTAAATGACTTTTATGTTCTATTTAGATTATTTTTATGTTCTGTTTAGAACCCATCTATCAACAAAGGCCAGATCTGTCAACAAATACTCGAGGCTTAGATACCTGTTTTCGATGCCCAGTACCCTGCTTGTGCTGCTCTTATTCATGGCCTTCTCGAAGCACCTTAACTCCTCCAAGTTCCTTCAAGTTCCTCCTCCTCCCCCGATTCGCACAAATCAACATGAAAACAAAACGAAATAAAAGAAACGAGTTCAGAAACCCAAAGTTTGGACTCGGTAATTGGGGAGTGTCCAGTCATGTCCTGATTTTTATAGGAACTCAAATAAACGAAATGAAAACTTGCATAGCAACTACCTGCAATCGTTCCTTAGGGGGCCTTTTTAATCCGAGGGAATGAGACCATAGCTGCCTCTCTTACTAATCCAGATTTGTTCTGTATGCATCTCGTGCCAAACAAAGAGCAAATCAAAGAACTGAAAACGAAAACCAAAAATTCGGGGAAGGAAAAGGAGAAGGAAAAGCGAGATTTCACTAACTCTTTATCTTCCAGCTGTCTCCAATCGATGGAATCGTTGACTCTCTCTCTCTCTCTCTCTCTCTACTCGTCGGCAGCAACGTGGAACCGCCGTCGCCAGTCGATGGAGTGATTGGAATGGTCAACTCTCTCTTTATCTCTACTCGTCGACAGAAACGCGGAACCGCCATCGCCTCTCTCTCTCTCTCACATTCTCTCTCTCTCTCTCTCAGATTGACGACATGCAAGATAGAATGAGAATGGGGTGTCAGAATGAAGGAAACGTGTCTGGGGGACGAATTCAAAAGACACGCAAATTTTTGGCGAAAAAAAAGCGCTATTCTGAGAAGGTAAAAGCCAAATTTTAACAATTTTGAATTTTCATTTTTACGTTGCATTTTGCTGCTACCATTATGTACACTTTTTTTTACACATTTTTGTAATGAAAAATTAGAGAATGGATGGTTATTACTCTTTTCAATTCACCACAAATAACAATTATCATAGTTTCAATATTAAAATATGAAATTAATTTCGTATATAACTGATAGACCCAATATTCAACCAACATCACACAACCGTCACAAACCATTTTTAGGTGATCACAAGGAGAATAATGATAAAATCATATATGTGTGTAAGTTAAGGGTGTTGGTATCTACTACTGGTTAAAACATTGGGTTTGGGTGCTCTCCCCTCCAAAATAACCCCATCAAACCAAATTACATCCATGGAATGGTTTCTTAAAGCTAAACCCATGTGGATGGCGATTTCTATTTGCTTACCTCCAAATAAATGATGTATAGTTGTCACCTACAATGTCAATTGTGGTAATATTTCTGACACTTTCACTTTTCGATGTCTAGTTGTCACAAATAATTACATGCTTGGCCGCAGAATTGATTTACAAAAAATTATCCTTTTAGCATAGTTTCAAATTTTTTCAACTTGGGTCTAATCCGATATCATATTCATCATTAAGGAGATTCAGATTGCGAGTGTGTCTCATCTAACTCATAGTTATTCGACTGTCTTTTTGTTAATCTTTTTTGTATATGGCGTAAGGACGGTGGGCATTGCTGTCAAAATACAAAAATAAGAGTGTAAGTATTGAATCAATCTAATCATATGTATAAATATACAAGAAGCTAGAAATTAACGGGTTAAGCACCATACTCCAAAACCCTGAACCCTGAACCCTGAACCCTGAACCCTGAACCCTAAACCCTAAACCCTGAAGCCTGAAGCCTGAAGCCTGAACCCTGAACCCTGAACCATGAACCCTGAACCCTAAACCCTAAACCCTGAAGGAAGCAACTACGAGTCTACGACAATAGTGGTATAACTAGAATGAAAAGAGTTTTTTATATTGATTGGTACTTTCTGCCTTAGACCATCTTTAGTGGTTGAATCCAAAAGTCCAGATTTTGGAGCTATAATTCAAAATCTAGCCCATCAAAAGGTGTTTTGGCATTAGTAATGAGTTCCAAATGTTTACATTTCCAGATATGCATTTTAACTCATAATCCAGTTTTGTGTATATTTCATCATTTTAATTACAAAATTTGTTCATAATTAATAAAGACGAACATGTCGACAATTTTTTTTTGAATTCCGACAAAAAATATTATTTGTAAATATGACGTATTGAAGTGCATTTAACTATTTATAAGAAAATTTTGTAAAAAGAGCCGTTTGGGTTCAAAGAACCGTTGGGTGTGAATATTGGTACTTAATGAGTACATTTTTCTTTTTCTAGTTCTCCAACAGGTGGAAAAATGGCAGAATCCATTCCCCCAATGCATTTTTCCCGTATCCCCTGTTGGTCCCCGTTATTTGGAACTTTTGTCCACTTGTGTTCCATTTTTGGAACCAATAATTGCATTAAATGGACCGTTTGGAATTCTGGAACCCTACTAAAAGTGAATGTGGCCATTTTTTTGGAATTCTAATAAAACACCACTGAAGGTGGTCTTAGTGGCGTAGAAAAGGGACGGGATGTGTATTAGACTATTAGTAGAATATAAAGGGATGTGCTAGAGTTTTAATTTGAGAAGGAAACTTATTAATTTGTTAAGTAAATAAGAGATAAAATTTGGTGCAACTAAAATCATGGCATATCTTCTCCTTCCCAATGTTTTTACACGGTTGAGTTGAAAATTGTGTTCATCTCTTTTTAATTCTTTAATATATTATTTTATTAATTATATATTAAAATGATTATTTTTTGCAACACAATTTGGAAAAATGTTGGGTAAACTGTACTCATACGCAACCCTTGTGATTTATGTTGGGTTCATCGGTACCTTTGTGTATCTAAGGCCATGTGAGTGGGAGGATTCATGTACCATTCAGATTCAGTAGATGGGGTATCCCACTTGAGGAGACTGGAGGTGGCTCAATAAAGTAGCGAGGGAACCAAGGAAGATTATCGGGTATGGCAATCCTTCGCTGAGAAGTTTAGTAGAACAGAGTCTTTTCCCAGTCTTTTCCCATTCCCTTTCTCTTAGGGGTATAAGAACAGGTAGAGCATATTCTCATATCCGCCAAAATTCTCAAAATCCCCCCACTTCCATCCGTGTCTTCACCCGCAATTCTGCAAATGTCGAAGTCGAACCCATCTTCATCGTGGATCGCCCAATTCAAACCGGGCGACAAGGTCGAGGTCAGCTCCGACGACCCCGGGTTCCGCGGCTCCTGGTTCGCCGGCATCGTCATCCGCCTCGAGGCAAAGAACCCTAATCGTTACGTAGTCGAGTACGACCAGCTCTACGAGGACGAATCTGGGGAGAAGCTGCTGCAAGAAACCCTC